GGCCGGGCGGAAATGGGAAGGCGCTTACCGTCACCTCCGCCACTCGGCAACCGGGGCCCGGAGGACCACCCTCCTGCCCGGGTGGGGGTGCCCCCCTCAGGGCACGGGGCTGGGGTGGGGCTGGGGCGGGGACGCTGCGCGCACCGTATCGGGCGCGGGCGGCGGGCGGCGGGCGGGGCGGCGCGACCCGGGAATCTCGGAGCCAGCCGCGCGAGCCGGGCACCCAGGCCGAGGGAAAGGCAGGAAGCGCCTGACTTCAGACACCACCCTCAGACTAGCAGCGCAGTCAGCGGCTCAGCGGCCGCTTCTAGGCTCTCGGCTGGAGCGCGGAGTGGCCCCGGCGTCTGCCACCTGCGCCGACCGCGGTTGCCGGCAGGCACTCCCGGGCAAGGGACTGGGACGCGGACCGGAACGGGACCTGCGAGCTTCGCCTGCCCCTGCCAAGACTTGGCCCACGGAAAGTGCTCCCCAGAATGAAGCCAAGAATTTGTTCAACCAGATTTCCCACCTGCGCCCCCATCCGAGAGGACACTGGATTCCCGGGAAGCCTGCCGCGAGAGCACAGCCACCCCACGTTCCCAGGCAGGCACGTGGTTAAGATCAGCAGGCCTTTGTACATCTGGCCTGGGTGCTAATAATGAAGATGGGTCTCTGTCTGTGGAGCACGTGGTTATCTATGCATCACCACCAGTACCCTCAGGCCACCCCATCCCACCCCGCCACAGGCAGCTGAGGCCAAGAACAAGGTAGCATGCAGCCCTGTGCCCCTGAGACGGGGATGTATGGGCTGGAGCTACCTGGGTGGTCCTTTCAAGGATTTGTGGCCTTGAGCTGGCCCCTGGTGCTGGAATTTGGGGAAGTAGAAGGCACAGAGGGAAGACATTCTGGGCAGAGAATGGAAGAACCATAGGTTCTCTGGGAATCATCCATAGGGGACAGTGTGCCCCTGAGAGTCAATGACCAGTGTTTTTTCCAGATGCCCTAAGCTCAGAGACTAACTCGTCTGATCTCTCCAGCCTACCTGCTCAGGGTAGACCCACGCTCCTTGAAGGGGCAGGAGGAAATCTCTTGCTCTTTCCTTGGCCCAAGGCTCAGATTTTCAGGCTTCACATTTGTTAAGTTTATTTCATAGGAGTTGAGGGGCCTAGTTTCAGAATGGAAGCACCAGGCCATTGGCCTCAACATTTGAGCAGGAAACACCAGTGGAGAAAGGGATTTTGAAAACAGTGTAAATTGACTGTGCAAAACCATTCGTTGCAATACATTTGTCAGTGGATACACTGCTGTTCTTTCAACCCTTAATGATTTGTGGTGAGAGTTTCATGGGAAGTCCCAGAGTACATCTTAAGTCGACAGCCATGCATGTACACACACAGTCCGGTTAGTGAGTGGTCCCTGACTCCATTCAGCATCCGTGTCTTTGTCCTTCAGACTGGTCTTGACCTGTTCCCTTACCTGTGTCTCCCTCCTGGACTAGCCTGCCTTGCCCATGGGGTGGGGGGAAGAAATCAGGGGTTCTCCACACCCTTCTCCATTTCTCCAGGAACCCCAACTAGGACTAGAGAATCGACCTATCACCTTGTTTCCAGCTGTGACACACATATCAAGTTCACTGTGGCTGAGGGCTGACTGTCCAAGCCGGCAAGAGTCAGGTTCAGCCATTTCCCATTCTCTGCCCCTGCCTACGCACAAAGTTGTGGGTGGAGCAAAGTAGCAGTAGAATCAAGCCAGTCAGCTTGTCCCTTTTAGAATGTAAATTTTCTTTTTAATCGAGAGATACTTTGATGTCTTGTAAACTAAAGAGTACCCAAATCAAAGTACCATTCTAATGCTTGAAAAGCACTCATTCTTCCCCAGTATTTTCAATAGCCGGCCCATCTCTGAAGTTTTATAAACCTTCCCACTCATTTAAGTCAAACAGATAATCAGGGGTTGAGGTTTTCATTGTTTTTGTTTTTGTTTTTGTTTTTGCCTTAAACATCTACAACATTTTTGGTGAAGTGAAAAATAATTTTTGAACGTGTATTTATAGAACTAGAAGGAAATCCAATATCCTAAAAGGTTAACACTCTGGCGTCTTATATATCTCATTTCATTCTCACAACACCACTATGAAATAGATTCCATTCCCCTTTTATATGAACTGAATCAAAACTTAGAGAATTTAGTAACTTACCTGGAGTTACAAAGCCGGCAAGTGGCAGAGCCAGATTTTTGAAAGCAAAATGAGCTGGTTCCAAGCTACCTCAGTTTCCACGTTTTAAATAAGGATAATACTGAACTCACTGGGTTGATGAGCGGACTAAATGGAAGAATTTATTTGCATGCTTAGCACGTTATTTGATATCAACAAATATAGGTATTGTTTAAAGAAAAACTCTCTCAGTGGACATAAATTTCCCCTCTCTCCACTTCCTACCGTTATCTTTTTTAAAAAAATAATTTCCGTATCAGTTCCTTGGCTTGTGTGTTCATACCTTCCTACGGGGGATAGTTTTATAGGTAAATAAGGAGTTGTGAGTTTGTTTCTCAGCCCTTGGTGGAAGAGGACTGAGAAAAAAGATTACAGAATGCGATTTAGAGCGAAATCATTTTTCCTGCAGGGCGGCATGATGTTTTTGTATTTTAGCAGGGTGGAATACATTGCGCTCCAGGCTGAGTGAAATTCCAGCTGTAGCCCCTGGAAGCTATGTAGACACGCCACTGTTGTTCCTTCACCTCCAGGCACTGTCTCGCTTGGCCACCAAGGGTCCTGTTTCTCTGTGCATGTGGAGCTTGACGAATATGTGGCCTTACTACAAGGAATGTGCTTGGGCTGCCTTTGCACACTCTTGATTCAGCTGGCCTGGAGCTCAAAGATAATGCATTCTGTAGCAAGCCAATTCCAGTCTCTCCTCCCTGTGCAAACAAGAGAACTCAGCTATGTTCTACTCAGAAGCCAGTGAAGCCCCACTGTCAGTTTCCCCCTTTCCTTTCTTCTAGTGCATGGGGAAAGCATCCCCTTCTTCATTGTCATCAGTCTGCACCTCCTTCCTGATTCATTTGTAGAAGTGATCCCACAAGCCCCGGAGCCTTCCTTGAATGATTCAAGCCGGCAGAGCTGGCTGTTTAGATCGGCCGTTACCCAGGATATTAGTGAGAAACAGCCCAGACAGTCTTAGAGAGGAATCACAGCCATGGGCCACTGCATTGAAGGAATTACAGTTCCTGCAGACAAGAGAGCCCTGAGCAGAGGAGGCTTCAGGTGACTGCAGGACCTTCCTCGGTGGCAGCAGCTGACAGGGGGACTCAGAGGGAAAACAGAAGAGGGTACCTGACTCAGTAGGATGTCAAAGGTCAAATGTCATCTGTGTATGAGAGAGAAAGAGAGAGCGCGGTTTTATAAAGGACTCTGGAGAACTGTGTTCAGGCCGAGTGAGATTTTAATGTGTTAGGGATTTAAGAAAAGAAATCAAATCCAAAGGAAGGTATTGTTCAAGTATCAGCCCACTGTGAAGCCTCAGCTATTAGTGTATTCTTTATCTGGAGCCAAGAGAAAAGGTAGGAAACCTAATGCCAAGTTCATTTTTGTAGTTTTCATCACCAGCGTAGTGGGTGGGGTAAGAAGACATAAGAGGAGTTCGCTTTGTGCTCAGTTACCTGGGCAGTTTTCTTACCAGTGTTATTCAAAGACTAGTCTGACCTCCTACTTAACATCTTCCATCCCCCAGCTCTCAGGTCCACTTCGGGGATGCACACTGAAGTTGTGCGTTCAGCTTGAATCCTTCCTTCCCAAGGGATGTCACAGGGTGGCTCTAAAGCCCAATGTTGAAGCCTGGAGGTTGATGCTCCCATGGGTGGTCCAAGCAGCTCCAAGATGTCAAGGTACTAGTCAGAGTCTCTAAGACTCAGAGTTACCAGATGGCTGCTACAACTAAAATCATCATCTTCTCCTACAGTTCACGAACTGCCTAGTTGACCAGGATGCAGGAGAGGTACCCAGAGGATTCAGCACAGCTGATGTCAAACCATTCCACTAAGCGCGCTTGGAGGCAGAAGAGCTATGCATTCAGTTCTGTCTTTGCTGCTGTCCCCCCTGCCCCCAGCAGCCTCAGCCATACATCACAGCATTCTGAAGACTAGAAAGCTTGCCCCCCAAATTCTCAGGAGTTCCAGGGGGAAAGTCCTAAATCAAATGCTCAGAGATCCTTAGGCAAGTGGAACTAATGATGTTGATGGAAAACAGGGTCGTGATGATCAAAAGAAGCAAAAGAGAGACAGGAAAAAGAAGATATAAAGAACTAAGGAAGGAAAAATCAAGGAAAGATTAGAGAGCTGCAAAGAGGGTTTAAGAATTTATTTTTTAGTGATGGATCAGTCTGGCTGATAAACTCAAGAAATTCTCCCCAAACTCAGAGGAAAAGGAGAAAAAAAATGATAAGAGATAAAAGATGAGACAAAGCCAGGATATCCAAAATATTTTTTAACAGAGAGCCCAGAAAGGTAGCATGTTGTTGATAGAGGAGAAACTGTTCTTGTATCCCAAGAC